GCCTTTCCCCACTCCTGAAATTACCTCTCTCCAACTTTGGTACTTCCAAATGGGACCGTTGGCTGCATTCGACTTGGCAAGTCACAGATTCTGGAATCTTGGACTAATACAGGGGTAGTTTTGGTCTATTGCTCTCATAAGGGCCAGCCAGCACAACAGGGACTGGAACCTTGTGTGTTCTTGCCCTGCACTTAATGTGCCTCTCCTAGAATCTCACAAATACTTATTATGCATTATTCATTTGGAATATAAGGCCTGCAAAAGCTTTTTGTGAACCTGCTGTTTTGCTCTTGGAAGCTTTGTAGAACCTCATTAATCTACTGGCAGCCTGGCAGAAAATAGTCTGTAAAAGCCATTAAGCATTCAGTGAAAAAATGAAAGCACAAATTATACCAGGAAATTGAGATTTCAAAATGAGAGGTTGTAAACACTGACCCAAGTCCTTGCCGTCCAATTTATAAGTCAAATCTAGCTAAACCTAGCAGCTATGAATTTCCACTTGTGAGGAAATTAATAAACCTACAGCTTGACCTGGACTGTGTGAACAGAAAGACTTCCAAGCATTCTATTCCCTCTCCCACTTATATCTTAAGTCAGTCTCTCTCTCTCTCTCTCAACATTCAATGGAACTGAATTTTTATGGGATAGTTTGTCAGGGACTTTCCCATTCTGATTTCCTTTTAAAGATTTTGTGCATGTCTGAAAACCTCAGGATTATCTTGCTTATGCATGGGTGATACAGTTTTGGCTCCAGTTCCTTTCCACTAGCATGGAAAGACTGTTAATGATTTTTAATACATATACAAGTGGGGCTTGCAACAACATTGTTACAGAGTGGTGTGCTTGTATTTAGGGTTCTAACCAGTCTGAGTGGAATGGTATAAATTCATGACCTGCAACAGCAGGTGGTTGGACCTGATGGCCTTCATGACCCCTTTGAATTCTACTATTCTATGATTCTACTCCACTTTTCTTATTCTTTATTGGTTTTTTCCTCAGGGTAGCAGAGTACACCATTGTGTCCACTTCTAGCTATCTCAGAATCTTGGATTTTTGTACTGATTTCAACAGGTAGTTCTCTCTTCTGTCTCACTTCCAGAAGTGAGGGTAGGACCTATCCAGGCAATACACAAATTCTGTCTACAGTTTTGATCTCTATGAATCTTTTCCTCCCTCTTAGTCCACTATTTTATTCTGTTCCCCTTCCCACACACTTTTCATCCTTTCCTTGGTCATTTCATTTCCTCTCCCACCTAACTGTTCCCCTCTCATGCATTTTATTTCCCTTCCCACCTACTTTTTATCTCATGCATTCTGTGCCACTGAGTGGGGTTTCTTCTTTATTTATTTTACTATTATTATAAACCTCTGAGTTACACTGAGTCTACCGATGCTTCCTTCTTGTGTGTGGGTGGAACAGTTTTGGCTATCGCTGCACAAACACAGGAAAACCTGAATCAGGTGGAGACTACTGCAGTCCATAGGCAAGAATAAGGTAAGGAGGGGGATTTTGCTCCTGGGGGTTGCCAGGATGAATGGCGAGCAACAGAAATGTGGAAACTGAGGCTACATGATTATCTGACGGGTAACTTTGGGCAAAAATAGGCTGGACAGGCACATGGTAGGCATGTCATGAATGCAGCAGGCTGGAGCTGGGGGTCAGACTAGATGGCCCAGGAGGCACCTTCTGACTCATTGTTTCTATGCTTCTAAAATCCACACAACATGGAAACAATACAGGGTTGTTTGCCATGTCTTGTGAACCCAGTCCTTTTGTTTATTATGTTGTTGTTTTAATTCATTTGATGTTTCCATTCATTGCTTTTATTAATGTTTTAGCAAATGTATGTTTAACTGTACTTTATAGACATTAGGTATTTTGTGAAATGCTTACAGCTTTATTAAATATTTTAAGTAATATAACAAATAATACCAATAAAATAAATTAATCTAGAATCAAGGCCGAGTCAAGCATAGAGAATATAAAGGAGTACAAGATAAACAAACCTGCTTACTTCTGTCACTGAAATAAGTGGAGCTTAAGAGTGCTCAATTGTTTTTATTTATGACCTGCTTTTCTTTCTAGCAGTTCAGAGAAGCTTGCAGAGGCATCCAATACAATCTTCCACCCACACACTGACCAGAATAAAATCTCCTTAGCTCTACTGTATCAGCCCAGGTATCGTCAGTCCATGATGCTGCTGAACCTTGCCCTTTGTATGTCAGTAAACAAGCTGCTGGACTTCGGGTGAACGCATGTCAAGACCTTATAACATAAATAAAGCTTACGGGATTTTTTTTGATCACACTACAGGTGTTAATTAATTTAGCAATGTCAGGATGCTTATCTACACAGGGAACAGTCACTGTGATTATTTTACATTATCTAATTTTTAAAATAATTGTGAGCCTGTTTTCATGAATTTTATTTCCTTTTATTCACTTACTTTTTCTGCTCAATATACCAGCCTTCTCCACCCTGGTACCCTCAGACATATTAGACTGCAAGTTCCAATATTTTTCACCCCTGGCCATGCTGTCTGGACCTGATGGGACTTGACATCCAAAAAATTTGAAGGCCAGGGAAGGAAAGATATGTTTACATATGGTAAGTGGTATATAAATGTATTAAATCCACACATAAAATAATCAATGTGGTCTCATTCTGCCTCATACACACATTCACAGAACTGCAGCCCAGGACTCTTGGGGTTTCTTTCATACATGAAACCAAAATGGCTCTCACTTTGCCCCAATAAATAAATAAATGACTAATGGAAGTGGGTTGCATATGTGGTGCTAATCTATGCTCAGAAATGCCATATAACTCTTGTGGGATTCGAGTGTGCAATTTATCTCTTCTGAAATTTCCCTCTTCTCATGAAACGAAGCAGAAACATACTTATGCAAACTGATGAAATGCATGCAATTTCATATGATTATGAAACAGGAGTACCCTAGACAGCCTCTGTGGGAGAAGGATTTCTACATTCTTTCCTCACCAGTTCTCTCCCCACATTTGCCTTACAGGACAAACATGGTTCTGGAACATGTCCTTGATAAGATAACCACCTGTATTGCCCCTATAAAGAACAGGTGCCTCAGGGAAGGTGAGAGGCTTGTTTTGCTCTCCACTGACAATAATTGCCAAGCTTTTCACATTCAGAGCCAGCAGAATACCAAGTGTGCTTCAAAACCACAAAGAGGGAAGAAGAAAAGACTAGGGAGAAACGGGCTGCTTCATCTCTAGCTTCACAAGTAGTTTTCAAGGTGCCAAATGCAGTCTCCAGGCTGCATTCCAGCAACTGTAGGAGGCCTTCCAGACTGGAGGACATACCTTCTGAACAAGTATGATCACCAGGTGTGATCTTCAGAAACTGATCACCTGATCAGTCTTTAAAGGAATAAAATATACAAATAAAATAATGAATGGGTTCTCAGTCTGCCTCATACACACATTCCCATTTGGATGACCCATTCAGACATAATAGCTCCCCCGCAATGAGCATCTTCTTACATCTCCTTGACTTGAGGAAGCACTCCTAGTTCATGTCTGTGACTGAAGGGAACTGGCCTAAAGGCTGCTCCTCTGTGCCAGAGGATGAATGAAGAAAAAGGATGGGGATGGGCTATTCCATGGGGTGGCTGTCCCAACAGGTGATGACGGCTGAGCACAACTGCATGTGTCATTTTCGGTGAGTAAGAACAGAAGAGCCATGCTGGATCTGGCTGAGACCCACCTAGTCCAGCATTCTGTCCACACCGTGGCCCATCAGCTGCCCGCTGGAGACTCACAAGAAGGGCAGGGGTGCAACAGCAGCTGGTGTACGCCAGTGCACACACGGCCTCTGCTTCTGGAGGTGGCCTAAGGCCATCAAGGCAGGTAGCCCTTTAACAGCCTTCTTCTGCAAGGAAGTGTCCAATCACCCTCTGAAGCCATCCGGACTGGGGCCCATCGGCTTCGCTTCAGGCCTCCCAGACAAAAGGGCTGTTTATCTCTCCCTTCTCTTCTCCGTGTGGCAAGCGCAACGCAAGAGACAGTTGCAACAAGCCACCTAAGGAACTGGGTGTGCCTTCCAAAGGCGCACCTCCAGATCTTCGCTTCCTTTTCCCGGGCCTTGTGAACAGAAAGCATAACCCAGTTCCCTCCCTCCCCTCGCCTTCCTTTTCCCGTCCAGGTTCCTCGAGGCTGGAATGGCAGCCTCTGCCTGGGCGTGCCACCCACAATGGCGTCAGAATCAACCTGTCAGCTCCGGCTGCATGAGCTGCCGCCCCGCAAGCGCCCCCATCCCTTCAGGAGAAGGGTCCTTCTTCCCCCAAAGCCCCCGCTGGGAAACGATCCTCCTGCCCTTCTTCCCAGAGGCGCAAAAGGCACGGATTGATTTTTCTCCCATCAAGCAGGAGGTGCTCGTAAGCACCCAGCGCCACTGGAAATGGGCTGTCTCCGATGCCCCGAGCTTTTCTTACATGCTTACTGGGTTTTTCTTTTTTAACCGGGGGGGGGGGGGGCCGGACAGACAAAAGACAAACCACTCGGCAAGCAGAATCCTGCGCGGGAGGTCGGGGCTCTAGCGCGTCTACGGGAAAAGGAGTCTTTGGGTGCCGCGGGGTTGTGGAGCGGGAGAGAAACCCCCCTGTCCTTGGCAGCCGTTCTTGCCAATGCCCAGACATCACTGCTCGGCTTCAGAACCGGGCCCGGCCCGTAGGAGCTCCGTCGGTCGGAGACAGCCAGGCGGCCGCCGCCGCCGTCCCCGAAGGCGAAGGGAGGGCCAGAGCGCAGCATCCGGGCGCAGGGCGGGGAGGGGAGCCCGAACCGGGCGGCTCTCCCGCTCTCCCGCCGCCGCCGCCGCCGCCCTCCGCAGCCGGGGAGCGGAGCAAGAGCTCCGGGCGCGGTCCAGGGGAGGTTTGCACGGGAAGCGAGGAGGCCCAGCTGCAGCCGGGGCGCCGCGAGGGGGAGAGATCGGGCCCGGCCGGCCGGCCGGCTGGCGCGGCTCCCTTACCCGCCGCGGTGCTTGTTGTCCATCCGCTTCTTCTGCCTCACCGGCTGTAGGGGGATGTTGTCGGTCATGGCCGCGGCAGCCGAACCGAACCGGGCGCAGCCGCAGGCGGGGAGGAGCAGCGCGGGAGGCTCGGCTTCTTCCCGCACCAGCCCAGCCTCGCCTCGCCTCGCTCCCTCGCTCGGCCCAGCTTCCCCGCGCCCTGGTGACAGCGCCGCCGCCGCGGACTGGGCTGGCTGCGGGCGAGGCGGCGACACGCAGGTAACGCGGGCGCTCACGCCGCCCCCGGTCCTCCCCTCCCCTCCCCGCCCCGCCGCAGCCCACCCAGTGGGCGGTGTCGCTGCGCCGCCCGCTCCCGCCGCCCCCCTCCCGTGCCTCGCCGGCGGTGCGCCGCGTCCTGCGCGCTCCTGCGCGCTCCCCTGCGCCCTCGGTGCTCCCCTGGCCCCCGCACACCTCCCAGGTAAGGCGGCCGCGCTTCCCAAAGCTCCGATCGGACTTCGCCGCCCCGGCCCGCCCCTTGGCTGAGCCGGCTTTCCAGCTTGCACGACGGTCGCGAAGCCACTTCGATGAAGGCTGCTTTCAGACGAGACGTTGCTTCGCTGGGCCAGTCTCCAAACTCCAAGTTCTTTCCTTTCTCTCCCTTCCATCATGCTGCTGCCCCGGGTACCATGGGAGCAGTGAGGTTGCCTGGTGCTCTGCAGAATTTTTAGGACTACATTTCCCCTCAGCATGCCTAACAGATAATTCCTAAGTTTTGGCTATGCTGGCTGGAGCTGATGGGAGTTGTAGCCCAGATGGCCTACCTTGCTCTGGGGACATCAGAGGCAAATACCTATAGTCGTTTTATTAAGAGAATATTTGATGCAGCAGAGTTACACCCAATCCTCAGGGATTGCTGGACTGAGCTCAGTTGTCTGTTTACTGGCCCTGAGGAAATGGAACTGGCCAGAGCCAAGGCCAAGTTTTGGGGCTCTGTGGCAGGAGGCTTACCTAAGTGGGCTCAGCTCCTCCTTGCTGTTGGCTCACCATGGCCCATTTCATCTCCTCTTTCTTTGCCAATCTGTGAGGCAGATTCAGGAGAGGCAGGCGTTGCAAGTAGAATCTCGTGCTCATTTCAAGGGTCAGGTAAGAGAGCAGAAACTGCAAGGAGCAGAAATGTAGGACCACCATGTTCCAGTGTGCCCATGATGCCAACTCACAGCAGCAGCTCTTCAAGTGCAAGGGAACCTTGGCAGTAAGAGCTCATTGGATTATGCAAATTCTCCTCAAGGACTCTTCTATCATGCATCTCCATTAACTTCTTCCCACTGATATCGCTGGCTCATCTTTTCCTACCCCCTGCTTCACTATCACTTCCCCCCTTATCCAAGGAGATACGTATGGCCACTGTTCTCTTCACTGTCCAGAGAACTGAATACAAAATGGACTGAGATAATCTTCCTTTCCTATCCTAGCAAAGAAATGGTTGAATGCAGATGGAGAAAACTCCTAGTGGATGCAGGCCAGCTCTGGTATGTGCCTGTAGTTCAGTCTACTTGGAGGTAGAGAGCGTTGCAAAGAAACAGTATTTCACTGCCGTTATCCAGTCCTCTCTCTACTACCTGGTGGAGCTCTAGAGTTGTCTAGGGCCTGCTGCATGCTGGCCCCATGTGCATCTTAAGAACAATCTGTAGCCCATTGCAACATATTTGCTAGACACTTTCAGGATAAAATCGCTTGCATCTGTCAGGACTTGGACTCCAATATTTTGACATGGAATTAGACAAGTCATCCAGATTATTGCCTGTTCAAGTTCTCTTGGATGCAGTTGAGTTTGTACTACCTGAGGATGTTCACACGGTGCTGGGATGGGTTTGTGCAACCACATTTGTACTATATCCTTGTCCTCCTGGCTAATAAAAACCAGCCAGCTGGGTCAGGGAGATGATTAGTTCCTGTTTACAGGAGGGAGTCCTATGCCACTTGAAACAGGTGCTGGTCCCATGTCACTCCTGAAGAAATCCAGAAGATCTTGATAATTTTAGGTCAATGACAAACATAGATTTTCTGGGCAAGGTCCTCAAGCAGGTGGTGGCCAACCAGCTCCAGGCACTCTTGAATGAGACTGAATGTCTGGATCCGTTTTAATCAAGCTTTGATCACCCTGTATGATGACCTGTGCTGGGAGAGAAATATGACCCTATTGGTATTCCTAAACTTCTCAGTGCCTTTCAGTGCCATCAACCGTGACATCCTTCTGGGGCAACTGTCTGAGCTTGGAGTGCAAGACACTGTATTATTGTGATTCCTTTCCTGCTCAGAAAGGCATCTCCTGAAAGTAGTACTTGGGAAATACTGTTCAATCTGTGGATTCTCCAGCATCCTTCTGGGATCTGTTCTGTTCCCCATGCTATTCAACAGCTCTTTAAAACCACCGAATGGATCATCTGGAGCTTTGGATTCCATTGTCATCAATATGCTGATGGCACCCCACTCTTATCTTCAAATGGTTAAGGCTGTGGATGATCAAAGTGGTGTCTGGTTGTGACAATAGACTGGATGAGAGCTAACAAACTGAAGTTCAATCCAGACAAGACAAGTTGATGTTAGTCTTGTCTGGATTGATCAGGTTTTAATTGTAATTTTATTGTTTTATATTCATTTATTTCTGTGAGCCGTCCCGAGGCTATATAGCAAGGGGACTGCATACAAAAACTTTATTATTATTATTATTATTATTATTATTATTATTATTATTATTATTACATTTCTATGCCACCCCTTGCCGAAGCCTCGGGGCGGCTTACAACACAATAAAATACAATACAAAAATAACAATATAAAATTAAAAATTAATAATATATATAAAAATATAAACGATATAAAAGAAGTTATAAAAGAAAAGAAGAAAAGAAAAGAAAAGAAAAGAAAAGAAAAGAAAAGAAAAGGAAAGGAAATAAGTCGCTCTGGCTAGATGAATAAGTGAATATTGTTAACAATTAAAATGACGTTTAAATAAAAAGGTCTTCACCTGGCGCCGAAAAACAAATAACGACGGCACCAGGCAGACCTCTCTGGGGAGCACATTCCATAGATTGGGCGCCACCGCAGAAAAAGCCCTCCTCTGAGTACCTACTCTCCTAATTTCTTTCACGGAGGGTTCCCGGAGAAGGGCCTCTCCTGCAGATCTCAAGGGGCGGTCAGGCATATATGGATGTAAGCGCTCCTTCAGGTAACCAGGTCCCAAGCCGTTTAGGGCTTTATAGGTCATAACCAACACCTTGAATTGGGCCCAGACTTCAATGGGAAGCCAGTGAATTTATCGGAGGACTGGAGTCATGTGAACATAACGCCCCGTTCCTGTCAGCAACCTGGCAGCTCTATTTTGAACCAACTGAAGTATCCAGACTGTCTTCAAGGGAAGCCCCACGTAAAGCGCGTTACAGAAGTCAAGGCGGGAAGTCACCAGCGCGTGTGTCACCGTCACCAGGCAGTCGTACTCCAGGTAGGGGCGCAGCTGATGGATCAGCCGAAGCTGAAGGAAGGCGCTCCTTGCCACCGCTGTCACCTGAGCTTCCAATGAAAGCTCCGGGTCGAGGAGTACTCCTAAGCTGCAGACCTTGTCCCTAAGAGGGAGTGCAACCCCATTCAGGACTAGGTTCAATTCACCCTCCCCAAAGCCCGATCCGCCAACCAACAGGACCTCCATCTTGTCTGGATTGAGCTTCAGTTTATTGGCTCTCATCCAACCCATAACCTCGGCCAAGCACCGGTTCAGCACAGCCACTGCCTCACCTGGATTAGTGGAAAATGAGAGGTAGAGCTGGGTATCATCAGAGTACTGATGATTCCGTAGCCCACACCTCCTGATGACCTCTCCCAGCAGTTTCATATAGATGTTAAACAGCAAAGGGGACAAAATGGAGCCCTGTGGTACTCCATGGCATAGCTGCCATGGCGCAGAGCCATAATCCCCCAGCACTACCTTCTGGAATCGGCCGTTGAGATAGGAGCGGAACCACTGCAAAGCAGTGCCTCCGACTCCCAATCCCGCTAGCCTATCCAGAAGGATACCATGGTTGATGGTATCGAAAGCCGCTGAGAGGTCCAGGAGAACCAACAGGGACGCACTCCCCCTGTCCTTCTCCCTGCACAGGTCATCGTATAGGGCGACCAAGGCAAACAAACAAACAAACGAACATCATCTTCTGATCAGATGCTTAGGTTGTCCAACTTGTTTTAGATGGGGTTGCACCCCCCCTTGATGGAGCAGGTCCATAGTTTGGGGATATTTCTTGAGACCCAAGTATTCAGTAGCAAGATTGCCTAATAACAGTTTTGGCTGGTGGCCCACCTATGTCCCTATCTGGGCAGGGACAGCCTATTGATCTCTAAACTAGATTACTGCAATATACTCTACATGGGACTGCTCTTGATGACTGTTCAGAAGCTGCAGCTTGTGAAAAATTCAGCAGCCAGATTAATAACAGGGACCCAAAGTTCTGAGCATGTGACATTGATTTTGGCCCAGTTGCATTGGCTGCCTATATGCTTCTGAGCCTAATTCAAGGTGCTAGTTTTTATCTATAAAGCTGTACATGGCTTTGGACCATAGAACCTGCTTCCTCTTCCAGCTGCAAATTACCTGTACATTATGATCAAAGACCAACCAAGGTAGGCTTGGTTGATGGCAAGAAGAAGAAAGGCCTTCTCAATAGCGTTTTCCCAGTTATGACCCAACTGCTATCTTTTGGTATCTTTTTAGCACCAGGTTAGGGTTATCCTATATGAAAGGGAATCTAATCAGTTTATATTATATTGGAACATTATGTCAACTTAACAAGTCTTGTGACTTAATTTGTTAAGCTGTTGCAACTTTCAAATTTGGTTTTAAAATTTGCTTTTAAATTCTATATATTTATGATTTTTGTTATTTTATATTGCATTTTATTGTATTTTGTCTGCTGTTGTGGACTGCCTAGACAGCTTTGACTACTGGGCCATATAAAATATATTAAGGAGAATAACAATAATAATTTCCATTCCTTTCCTTGCCCTGAACTAATATCTGCAATGTGAGTATATAGACAGGGAAACTGGGTGATAGCTTCTACTGGGCCTATTTGGCTTGGGTCTTTCTCTATAGCATATTTAGTGTAATAATTAATTCAGCCCTTTCTGTAATTTTGCAACCTGGAGTTTT